ATGTCTACAGCCTGCAGTGGGAAGTACAAGCTTAACTCTAAACTTTATTGTTTAGACAAACTTACTTGTTTAAGGAAATGAAGGCTTTATCCTTGAAGCGTTGCAAACATTATCAACATCATGCTAGTGAACATTGTCAGAAAAGATGTAATATTATAGGCCTTATAGAGGGAACAGGGTCATGAGCATGTTGTAATACAAGCTTTAGAACGGGAACAATGTCATAAGCATGTTATATGATAGGCCTAAGAGTGGGAACAGGGTCATAAGCATGCTATATTATAGGCCTTAGAGTGGGAACAGTGTTATAAGCTTTTTATCATATAGGCCTTAGAGTGGGGACAGGGTTATAAGCATGTTATCATTTAGGCTTTGGAGTGGGACCACGGTCATAATCATATTGGCCTTAGAGCGGGAACGGGGTCATAAGCATGATATCATTTAGGCCTTAGAGTGGGAACGGGGTCATAAGTATGTTATCATATAGGCCTAGAGTGGGAACAGGGTTATAAGAATGTTTCATTATAGGCCTTAGAGCGGGAACAAGGTCATAAGCATGTCATCATATAGGCACTAGAGAGGGAACATGGTCATAAGCATGTCATCATATAGGCACTAGAGAGGGAACAAGGTCATAAGCATGTCATCATATAGGCACTAGAGTGGGAACTTGATTATAAGCATGCTTCATTATAGGCCTTTGAGAGGGAACATGGTCATAAGCATGCTATCATTTAGGCCTTAGAGTGGGAACAGTGTTAAAAGCATGTTATCATATAGGCCTTAGTGGGAACAGGGTCATAAGCATGTTATCATTTATGCCTAAGAGTGGGAACAGGGTTATAAGTATGTTATCATATAGGCCTTAAAGTGGGAACACGGTCAGAAGCATGTTATATTATAGGCCTAGAGAGGGAACAGGGTTATAAGCATGTTACATTATAGGCCTTAGAGTGGGAACAAGATTATAAGAATGTTATCATATAGGCCTTAAAGCGGGAACACGGTCGTAAGTATGTTATCATATAGGCCTAGAGAGGGAACAGGGTTATAAGCATGTTTCATTATAGGCCTTAAAGTGGGAACAAGATTATAAGAATGTTATCATATAGGCCTTAGAGTGGAAACACGGTCATAAGTATGTTATCATATAGGCATAGAGGGGGAACAGGGTTATAAGCATGCTATCATTTAGGCCTTAGAGCGGGAACAGGGTTATAAGTATGTTATCATATAGGCCTTAAAGTGGGAACAAGATTATAAGAATGTTATCATATAGGCCTTAAAGTGGGAACACGGTCATAAGCATGTTATCATATAGGCCTAGAGAGGGAACAGGGTTATAAGCATGTTACATTATAGGCCTTAGAGTGGGAACAAGATTATAAGAATGTTATCATAGGCCTTAGAGTGGAAACACGGTCATGGGAACAGGGTTATAAGCATGCTATCATTTAGGCCTTAGTGGGAACAGGGTCATATGAGCCTAAGAGTGGGAACAGGGTTATAAGTATGTTATCATATAGGCCTTAAAGTGGGAACAAGATTATAAGAATGTTATCATATAGGCCTAGAGAGGGAACAGGGTTATAAGCATGTTACATTATAGGCCTTAGAGTGGGAACAAGATTATAAGAATGTTATCATATAGGCCTTAAAGTGGGAACACGGTCATAAGTATGTTATCATACAGGCCTAGAGAGGGAACAGGGTTATAAGCATGTTACATTATAGGCCTTAAAGTGGGAACACGGTCATAAGTATGTTATCATATAGGCCTAGAGTGGGAACAGGGTTATAAGCATGTTACATTATAGGCCTTAGAGTGGGAACACGGTCATAAGTATGTTATCATATAGGCCTAGAGAGGGAACAGGGTTATAAGCATGTTACATTATAGGCCTTAGGGTGGGAACACAGTCATAAGCATGTTACATTATAGGCCTTAGAGTGGGAACACGGTCATAAGTATGTTACATTATAGGCCTTAAAGTGGGAACACGGTCATAAGTGCACATGAATCATACGATCATTGAGTATATCCAATCAAAGTAAAGACCAACGCTTAAAGGCACTATTTCAAACTACACTTCTCTAAAAATATATAATGCATTTCTCTCAATACTATCAGCCCTCAGGGAAGCTACCCTATAATTTATTCCAAATAAAGTTACGTATTTAGATTACAGTATTAAATTTTTAAAGTAATTGAGACTGAGAAGAATTAAAGTATTTGTGACAAGTTAACATGGTTAACAATGCCACAACACCATTACATTATATAACACCAGTGTTTGATATTGGGGAGTCCTGGGTCCTGGAGGTCTTCTTTCATGGTAGTTGAATCTAGGGACCCCTAAATCTTGATTTTTTAACATGACTATGACGACAACCACTTGACATGACAGATGCCCTATCTTAAGCGCAATAGCTACATGTTGCAATTGCAGTGTTAGGATCCAGCTGTTACAGATAACTACGATTAAGTGTTCCATACATATTGATTTGAAAATAAACCAAATTTATCGCTTTGTTAAAACAAAATCAGCAGCAATAATATCCATTCGGCGACGCTTACGTAACTGCGACTCAACAAGAGACATTGTGTTATTACCATTTTAAAAGGTAGGGGCTGCATTCTCCTATGAAGGAACTGATTGATCTGGTACGACGTCGGGAATATCTCTGTCTCTTAATTTTCTAAATGGATTGTATCGTCTAAGGAAGCAGCACCATAATCAATTACCGAGCATACGCTTGTAACGTATGCAAATTCAGGCCCCCAGAACGGCCATTTATAATGTACATGTATAAGAAACAATCGATACATATATCCTTTATTTTAGGGGTAAAGGGTGTCCTTTTTAGGGAGTGTCTTTACTCAGAATTGGTGGTGGTGGTGTGTGTCAGTGTGTGTGTGTGTGTGTGTGTGTGTGTGTGTGTGTGTGTGTGTGTGTGTGTGTGTGTGAGTGAGTGAGTGAGTGAGTGAGAGTGAGTGAGTGAGTGAGTGAGTGAGTGAGTGAGTGAGTGAGTGAGTGAGTGACCCAGATAGCATTCGGACGTTGGCCCAACGTTGGCAATGTTGGCAAAACCATTGCCAACGTTGGACCAACGTCTGAATGCTATCTGGGAGTGAGTGAGTGAGTGAGTGAGTGAGTGAGTGAGTGAGTGAGTGAGTGAGTGAGTGAGTGAGTGAGTGAGTGAGTGTGAGTGAGTGAGTGAGTGAGTGAGTGAGTGAGAGTGAGAGTGAGTGAGTGAGTGAGAGAGTGTGTGAGTGAGTGTGTAAGTGAGAGTGAGATAGAGAGAGATAGATATATGTAGGTCCCGGTTAGACTGCATGCCCCCAGTAGTCATGTCGTATGATCGACTAAAGAATCGGGAGGTCAGGCTGGGAGATATGGCTGGGTGCATGTCATTGTGTCTCAGTTGCGAGGACACATGCTCATGCTGTCAATCACTGCACAGATTAGATTAGATTAGATTATTTATAAACTGCTAATATGTAGCAGATGTATAGATAATTGCTGAGTGAGATAGGATTATTAGACACAGTATTTCATATCGTGACTAAAACAAGTTAAACTCAGAATGTAAAAACCTGCGGACGAAAGCATAGGCGGATCAAGAAGGACAAAGGGTGGGTGGGTGCGGTGCGCACCCCTGCACCCCCCTTTTGTCCTGAAGTTTATTAAATGAACATTGAAACTCTCGTGAAAATTAAGTGTGCACCCCTCCTTTTCTCAATAGTGTGTACCACCCACCCCCACCCCTTCTAAAAAAGCTGTATCCGGTCCTGGGAAGACAGTAAAACAACAAGAATATCCCAGACATAAATGTAGAACTGGTATGTAAATCTAAAACTACAGACAATACAATAAATGACCAGTCTAAGTAAACTGACTATAATTTATAGCAGTGTAACGAATAACACTGAGCCTAAGTTTACTCAAACTGATAAATACCAGATTATAGATCGCCAACAACTGAAGGTGTTTATTGTGATACATGCTTACAATCACTCTGGCTACATGTACATTACTAGTATATATATCCTGTACAACTGATAGTTAGTATTCACCTGACGATGGGGCGACACAAACATAATAGTGAAAGAGTTAATGATTGGCTGACAGGAAAAGTGTCAACAAACTCGTGCTATTTTCCAACCGATATATTTCAATGCCAAGTGAAACGGAGATGCTGTGTATAGAAGACGTCGAGGAAGGGTGCTTTTAATTATGAAAATCATGGAAATGATGACATAATGTTTTAATAATGCCAAGACATGGTAACGGCCAATGCAGAAGTTGTAAATCGTGTTGTAAATATTAAAAGTGTTGTATATACATAATAAAGAAGTTGTCAAGCATAAGACAAATATTATGGAGGTTAACGTCTTCCTTATTGTATACACAACGTTTCACCACGTCATTCACCTGACGAAAGGGCAAGGAAAAGTCCAGAAACGTTGTGTATACAATAAAGAAGACGTTGACATCTATAATATATTGTCTTATACTTGAATACCAACTTCTATATGGCTCTCAAGAACCTCATAAGACTGAATATCATATTAATTATGCAAGCGTACAAATACTACATTTGCCACAGATGCATTACGTATATAGATGACGCAAACCTTGCCAAAATTTAGAACAGACAATGCATAGACATTGGTTCGGATGACACATTCATTCTTTGCAATCTCGCAAAAGGCGGAAACTGTTAAAATGAAACTTACATTTTGAATAAAAACAACAACCCCAAAACGGTATCGTACGTGCGCTTTACTACATGAGATTTACATATCTGTCATTACGGAGGAAAGATTTACAGTAGTATTTAGCACCTCTAACTATAACTAACAAACTAACTAACTTGAAATAAATGCTTGCTCATTCCTTGATGCGTTAACCCTACCAATAAACAAGTGTAAACTGGAGGATATTTGGAGTGCTCGCCCTTTGAACGTTCTTCTTCCGTTTTCTTTCATTTATCCATACTATCACTTTTACGATACAGTTAACAAGCTGTTCTACTGGGTATATCCGACAAGCTTCTGAGAAACTAAACAAAGTGGACAGCGGATTTTGTCGTGACGGGACGTTTATTATGCAATGTTGATACTCAGCTGAAGCCATTTCGGTTGCATCGGATTGTGTCAAAGTGTGGTTCTTCAAATTTACATGCAAGAAATAAACGCTGTAAAACTTTTCTGTGACTCGGACAGGAGTCCAATCTAAATCCATCTTTAGACATTTTTCCTGGCATGTAAACTTAGGTATGAATCGGAATAGAACGAAAGTTAGATGATTATGATAAGAAGAGGAATGACCTCACGTTTGTTTTATGAGAAATTAAAAGTTTGGCTTCATGAGCGTATAGGATTTCGACTCAATAACGAAAAACATTTTTTTCGAATGGTGTTTGGTTGCATATGTTATGATGTTAGATGTCGCTGACCGATTCAATTCATTCTTATGTCGATCGTTATGGGTTGTTATTGTGTAAGTATGGCCTTATCAGTACTGCATTGAAAAGTGAACTGTGAAGGGATGTGTGAGCACAGCAAAAATGAATAACATAAGCGAAGTGTAATTTCTGAGGCTAATTTCTAGCTACATGTATATCTAGTTGTAGATTTTCTTCAAATTTATCACCGTTTATGTTTGATTGTATCCTCATGTTAATTATATTTGTATTTTCTGTTTACAGACTAACCATGGATACTGTAGACTTGTCACCAACTGACTGAAACAGTGACTGAAATATTCTTCTTCAACAACCATTCAGAGGGGTTATTGATGCATGCAGGTTAAGAATGTGCTGACGGAATGACTCAAAGTATGACTGTCAGCGTAGATTAGTATTGAAACAAAAGCCAAATGTACCATTCTTCTAGATTTTCTAAGCCAGCTTGTCCAACATCTACATTCATGGCATGGAAGTGGCTGCAGTCGAGGGAGACGGGATCTCCCATTCAGGTCGGAGAGACAAGCAAAATCACTAAAACATTCTACTCTTCGATGAAAGCTGTCAACAGCTGGGACCCCAACAGAAACACAGACCACTGTCACCATGGAGGGATATTCAACTTTGATTTTTCTGCTGATGGGTAAGTTTGGGAAGAGCAGAGGTGAGGTGAAATTGGGTTTAACGTCGTGCTTGAGAATATTTCGCTCATATGACGACGTGCATGCGTGTGTATGTGTATGTGCGGCTGCTTGTACTAGCCCAGACTTAAGCTGGTTTTATAGTGCTAGCCCACTGAGATACCATGCCGCAGTGAAGCATGAATACCCCACTCAGACACATTATACTGACTCCGAGCCGACCAGTCCTTGTTGTACCCATTAATGCCGAGAGCCAGGCAGGGACCAACAAGTACCATATTTTAACGTCTTTTGGTATGCCGCGGTCGGGGATCGAACCCGTGACCTTCCTGCTCTCCGGGTGGACGCTCTAACCACTACACCACGGAGGCGGTCGGGAAGAGCAGAGAATAGTGCCCCTAACATTATGACACGTAAGCATTGCTTGCGGTCATCATTGTCCTCATGCTAAGAATTCAAGATTAAAGGGTCCTTAGATTCAACTACCATAAACAAATATATCTCGCGGACCCAGGACTCCCCAATATCAAACACTGGTGTTTGATATGTTAGTGATGTTGTGGCATTGTTAACCATGTTAACATGTTGCCAAATACTTTAATTTTTCTCAGTCTCCTTAAAATTAGATCTTATTCTTGAAATGTCATCAGATATTTGTTTAGCGCTACCAAGATAAAGATTTAATTTAGTGCATAAGTACCAACCCATGATGCATCATTGATACAAATTTGTGAAATCTCTTTCTGGTACTTTCCCCAAACCTGATGCTAAGATTGTTTATAGTGTGTACCCACTTACCGTAGAGATGATTATTTATTATCCATGGTGACTGTTGCAGGTCGATGTTGGTGGCAGCCTGTGAGAGACAGAGCATTCTTGTGTTCGATCCCTTCAATGGGAAGTTTGTCGCCCACAAGAACAACGCCCACCAAGACTGTGTCAACTGTGTCAGGTACAGCATGACAAGCGAACACTTTAACCACTAGCTATCCCACTGCCCCGTAACAAGTTCAGCAAGAGATTAAAAGTAAAGAAATATTTTATGGTTAGAACACAGGTACCAGTAGATATAAACATGATTTTTTAGAGTTCTTACTTACCCTTTTAGAGAAGTTTAAGAAAGTTTGTTAACCAAGATTAACATTCAGTTTTCTTTTATTTGTTAAAACCAGGCAAGGTTTTCAATATTTCTGTAAAACACATATAAACCAATTACCAAGAAAGAACACTGAAAAGTGGGAATCTCACCTTTGAAGCAGGTTGAAAACGTTATAGTTTTACACTGTAATACCATCAAATTTTACATAAACATTCCCTTCTTTATCATATAGGATAATTAGGCAGTGACTTGTTTAGCTATTGGTCAAAGAAACCACCTCACCTAGTTTTGGAATGTAAAAACTCACACACCATCTGCCTAGTACATCTTTCTGAGGCATGAAGTAATTGACTATAAAAGTCAAAGCACCATCAGTAGCTATTTGCTTCAATGTTCTTCCTATTATTCCAATCAGGTTCCACATATGATATGACTTGTGTTTGCTTCAAACAAAATGGCAGTAGTCAGGCAATCTATTTGGTAATGAAGATCTATGTTGTAATAGTACCCATACAATGGGTTTGTCTTCCTGCACCCATCTGACAGTAAATATGCTTTTCAAATCAAGGGAAATCTGCAGGGCAGTTTACAAACAGGATGCCAGTTTCATTTATACACGATTTTAATTGGACTGTGCTTAGACTCTTTTTAGCCAAACATAATTAATCAGTTAATTCCCATGTTTAAGGAAGATGGGTCCTATGTGTAAACTTGATAAATGGCAAATAAACTTTCACATTGCGAATACCCATGAAGGTCGGGGTTAGAATGAACCTTCAGTAACCCATGCTTGCCGTAAGAGGCGACTAATGGGATCGGGTGGTCAGGCTCGCTGGCTTGGTTGACACATGCCATCGTATCCCAATTGCGCAGATTGATGCTCATGCTGTTGATCACTGGATTGTCTGGTCCAGACTCGATTATTTACAGACCGCCGCCATATAGCTGGAATATTGCTGAGTGCGGCTTAAAACTAAACTCACTCACTCACTCAAATTGTGAAAGAAAACATTATACTTTCACATGCCTTGCAAAATAATCCTGTGTAAAATGTAGTAAAGATGAGAGCATGATATAATTAAGAAAAGAATTCACCAATAGGTGCCAACATTCGAGGAACCCACAGAAGCTTACTCAGTATTCATTACTGACAAAATGTAAAGTGCTGTAGTGCTCATATACCCATTCTCACTTGCAATCATTATTACTACCAATATGTTTTTCAGATTTCTAGACACTCGAACATTTGCCACTTGTTCCGATGATTCCACTGTTGCATTATGGGACGTGCGGAATCTGCAGCAGCGCATACAGACACTGGAGGGTCACTCGAACTGGGTGAAGAACATTGACTATGCCTCCAGCCTGGGTCTTCTGGTCACCTCGGGGTTCGACGGCAGCATCTACACCTGGGACATCAACAAGTAAGCAGTGAACAAAAATGTGTGCTATGATGTTGGGTGACGCCACTTGATGAGTTGCTACCCGTGAAGGTCCGGGTTAGAACTGGTCTTCAGCAACCCATGCTTGTCGTAAGAGGCGACTAATGGGATCAGGTGGTTATGCTTGCCGACTTGGTTGACACATGCCATTGTGTCCCCATTGCGTAGATTGATGCTCATGCTGTTGATCACTGGATAGTCTGGTCCAGGTTCGATTAATTACATATATTGTTAGCTGGAAAATTGTTAAACAACAACCCAACCAACCCACTTGATGAGTTGCAGTAATTATTTGCTTTTTGTTAGGGCATGAAATTCTGGAGTTATGCCCCTTGACCTTGCCAGAATTAACTCCCTTTGTCTACCACCAATAAACAAAACCTCAAGAAGGGTTAATTGGGCTGAGGATGATGAAATAAAACTTTGCTGGGAACCCATTTAAACATAAAAAAGATGATGTGACCATTGTGAGCTTGACATCCAACAAAGACAAAAAATAATGGCCGAAGTGAATGTAGTGTCACTTGACTTTGTTGATATAGTTGATGATTGAGATAGGATACTCAACTCAACATTTGTCACTTCCAAAAGTTGTATTTCATCTTGCATGAAGATGTTTGGAGATCCAACCGAATAGATAAAGTAAACCTGAGTAATTTACGCTAACATTTTCAAGCTCATACCACCAGAAATAGAATTATGCTTTTCATAGAAAAAAGATATGGTCTCTGCATAGGTCACAAGTCAATTAACCTGTGAAGATCTGGGCTAGAATTCATATTCAGCAGCCCATGGTTGTTGTACAAGGTGAATAACAGGATTGGAAGGCTACCTAAGTCCTTGTTGACTTGCGTGATGCCTGTCATCATATGTTAGTTGCATAGATTAATGCTCATGATGTCTGTCACTGGATTGTCTGGTCCAAAGTCGGTTATTTACAGACCATTGCTATATAGCTGGAGGTGAGGTGACATGGGGTTTAATGTCGTACTTGAGAATATTTTGCTCATATGATGACGTGCATGCGTGCATATTTGTATGTGCGGCTGCTTGTACTAGTCCAGACTTAAGCTGGTTATATAGTGCTAGCCCACTGAGATACCATGCCGCAGTGAAGCATGAATACCCCACTCAGTATACTGACTCCTAGCCAACCAGTCCTTGTTGTACCCATTAATTCCGAGCGCCAGGCAGGGACCAACAAGTACCACATTTTAACGTCTTTTGGTACGGCACGGCGGGGATCAAACTTACAAGCTAGTGGTGGTCGACCTTCTGCTCTCCAGGTGACTCTCTCTAACCACTACACCATAGAGTTTGGAGGCGGTCGCTATATAGCTAAGTGGTCGCTAGAAAATTGCTAAGTGCAGCATGTAACAAACACAAGTCAGATGAGTACAAGCAGAGTGTAACTAGCTTTATGACTATGCTTGTAAATGCTGTTGTATCAAACAGTGGCCTAGTGGGTGGAGTGTCTGCCTGGAGAGCAGAATGTTGGTGGTTTGACCCTGACCACGACATCCCAAAATATATTATGTCCTTGTTACCCTGGCAATAAAGGGATAAAACAAGTCAGAAGTAGATGTGTCTGTTTAAACTGTAGCAAGGTATATCAGTGGGCAAGTCCAGACTATTGCAAGCTGCCACACATACACATGCTGGCAGTGGGGTAGCCTTGTGGTTAAAGCTTTCACTTGTCATGCCGAAGAGCGGTCAATTACCCAGATTGATACAGTGTGTGAAGCCCATTTCTGGTGTCCCCTGCCGTGATATTGCAGGAATATTGCTAAAAGTGGCATGAAATATTCACTCACTGAATACATTTTGCTATATTAATGCAATATTATTTATGCAATAGTAAACGTTAGATGTAAATGTTAGATGCAATGGTTTTGTGAAAGAAAAAACCTTCCTGCACCTCAAATTTCTGATAATATATATTAAAGGTCAGTGAAGCAGTCTTTTCTCTTTCTTCAACTCTATATTTAAAGTTACCCGTGAAGGTCTGGGTTAGAATATTGATCTTCAGTAACCAATGCTTGTCGTAAGAGGCGACTAACGGGATTGGGTCAGGCTCACTGACTTGGTTGACACATGTCATCGGTTCCCAATTGCTCAGATCGATGCTCATGATGTTGATAATAATAATAGTAATAATGTATTTATAAAGCGCCTAATATCCATCGTAGAGATGCTCAGTGGCGCTGTGACAATATTGGTGAAGGAAATAGTTCATATAACTTTACAGAAAGGCAGCAGTGAATAGATGGGTCTTTAGCAGAGATTTAAAAGTTCTTTCGATGAAGTGTTCCTGATTTCCTTTGGAAGACAGTTCAAGGGTTTAGGGCTGGCACAGGAGAAGGCTCGGTCAGACAGTTGGTTTGGAGATCTGTGTTGAGTTAGGAGAGAGCCAGAGGAGGATCGGAGACTTCGCTGAGGTACATACAGAGAGATGAGATGTTTGAGACAGTCAGGAAAGTTATCATTGTAGAGGCAGTCATGAGTCAGAATGAGGATTTTGAAGGTAATTCTTGCAGAGATGGGGAGCCAGTGTAGAGACTGTAGTACTGGGGTGATATGGTCATGACGATGAGTGTGGGCGATACATATGGCAGCAGAATTTTAGATTCTTTGAAGTTTCTGGAGTGATTTATATGAGAGGTTGGCATATAGTGAACTACAGTAGTCGAGTTGGAAGTGACAAGACAGTGCATCAGAAGTTTACAAGTGTCAGTATCAAGGTAGTTGTGGACTTTGCTGATGTTATGGATGTTGTAGTAGCAGGCTCTACTGATGGAGGTGATGTGTGCATCCATGGACATGTTGGAATCACTGGATTGTCTGGTCCAGACTCGATTATTTACAGACCACGCCATATAGGTGGAATATTTCTGAGTGCAGCGTAAAACTAAACTCACTCACTCACTATATTTGAAGTAATTTCTTTACACTATATTTTCAGCTACTCAACAGAAACTACAGCTCGTAAGAAGGTCTTCTACTCTAACTCGCTGATGCGCTCAAAGCTGACACCAGATAATTCCAAACTCATCATCACTACAGCTGGGGGCTTCCTTGTCATCATCCACGACCTTGACCTTGCCAAGTTGTCAGATGACCTGAGTGGGTTTGAACCTAACATCTATCGCATGATGCAGCTGAATCCAGAAGGAAGTGGTCTGGCTATCATGTACAACAAGGTGTTCGAGAGGAGGAGAAACCGGGTGGAAATCATCAGCGACTTCCCGGCAGAAAACCAGGCCAAGGTCATAGCTTCCCTGCAGGTTGGTTTAAAGACTCATCAAATGAGGTGATGGGGTAGCTCTATTGTTAAAGCGTTCGCTCGTCATGCCAAAGTTCAAGGTTCGCTTCCCCACTTGGGCACAATGTGTGAAGCAGTGTATGAAATAAGGCCTGTCCGACCGCCCGAGACAGGCTAGATTTCTGACGGACGGTCTAAATTTACAGCTAGCAAGCCCGATGGTCTGGTAAATGTTTTTTTTAGATATTCCATACATCTGAGTAAATTCACCATATCTTGGTGTCTGGTCTGGTTAAATCCATTTTGGGCTGGTAACATTTTGAAGTTACCAGCCCTGATGTCTGGATGGGGTTTGGCTTATTTCATACACTGTACATCTGGTCTATCTGTCAAAAATGATGTTGTACAGTGTTGCCTCCCTTGAGCACTCCAGAAACGTATGATCATGCCTGTAGTTTGACTCCTGGTGAGTTCTTAGGGACCGTTCATAATTTAATGGATTTGGGGTGTGTGTGTGTGGGGTGGGGGTGCGTGTGTGTGATGACTTTGAGGGGGTCACCCATTTTGTTCTGGGGAGGTAGGGGGTCATCAATTTTGTACACATGTACTAGGGGGTATCAATATTGTACATAAAAAGATTTAAAAATTAAGCTTAAAAAATATGGGAAGGAGGTGTGGGGGGTCATTGATTTTGTACATGACCTGCAGTAAGGGTCACTTACTTTGTACATAAATTTTAGGGGGTGTCATTCTCATGTACATGCTTCTCCATAAAAATCATCATCACCCCCCTCGCCATTAATTATGAACAGCCCCTTCTCAGGTTTCTAGGTTGTCAGGATCATATCTGTGTCCATCCTCGATAATCTCCAGGGTATACGTTCTGATAAATCTCCACTATACCCATGTCTCGAGCCGATGATTTTATTATCTCCCTTTGCTGGCTCCACATTCTCACAGTAGCCAATCAGATAAGCTGCCGTTACAACCGAGCTTGCCAGTGTCAACAAAGATAGCAGTCGCAGCCGCAAAATTTTGTTTGCAGTGCGACTCAGAATTTGGGGGAAAACATGCAGACAAATTCACAGGTCTGAAATCTTAAAAAAATATATGCAAGAACTCCTTCTACCTCTATCAGAGTACTTCTGCAACAATATATTATTATGTTGCCAAGTTTAATCGGTTAGATAATTTAAAAAGCAAAAGTGAGTGCCGATTGGTACGCTCAACTTCCCAGCGTAGACACCTGATTGGATAAAAAGCAGACCAAGGGAGGTAATAAAATCATCGGATCGAGCCATAGATGCATATAGGGTATAGTGGAGATGATCTGTGTCAAAGTGGTAAAGCCATGGGTGGTATCGTCTTTTGCCAGTCGGGCAAGTTGTTTATTTAAAGAGTAAGAGGATTATGAGGCATGGTCAACTGGGTTTGTTTGTTTAACTAATCCCACACGGCCTTCACCAGTAGAGGGAATGATTTTTGATCAGTTATTACATTGCTGTTCACTTTATCCCATGATGGCAAATGCTTTGGTAAACGTTCAGTTTGTTCCAAATGGTCGGGAGGGTAGACGTTTAGTGTATCAGGGATATAAGTTTCGAATTAAGACTACAGTCCGTTTGAGTCAGAAACGGACCGATGAATTGCAAATTTTATCATTGTACAAATTTGCCACATAAATATAAATAGTACACATGTTTATCATTTACTAATACCCAACAGCTTTCTTATATTTGAAAATTTTCCGGACTCCACCAAAAGAGTTCTTTAAGAAACTATCATTAAAATTTTTACACAGTTCACTATTTGTTACGAGGGAGGAGTGCAGAGAAAGGGACAGCCAGGTGTTAGAGAAGCATGTGCACAAGTGCCCACACAGTTATTGATTCATTAGCCTGTGCTGTGCCGTCTCCATCCTTTCTTGCAAACCTGGCTGTCCCCTTTCTCTGCGTTTCCATGGCAACAATTTTGACTTCGACTGAAAATTGGTGGTAGTGCTCTTTTCGGGAGCAGAACTCTAAAACTGTTCACTATTTCTTCACCAAACTTGGCACATAGATTGGTCTGGTGGTGTACTGATGCCTTTTGGTAGTTTTGGATTTCTGAATGAAATATTTTTGGCGTTTCCATGCCAACAAGTTTGACTTAGACTGAAACTGGTGATAGTGCTGTTTTCCGGAACAGAACTCTAAAACCTTTCAATGTTTCTTCACCAAACTTTGTGCATAGATTGGTCTAGTGGTGTTCTGGTGCCTTTTGGTAGTTTTGGTATTCTGAATGAAATATTTTTGGCGTTTCCATGGCAACAAGTTTGACTTAGACTGAAACTGGTGATAGTGCTGCTTTCTGGAGCAGAACTTTTAAAACCTTTCAATACTCTCCTTCCACTTTTCTATATACAGACTAAAACATTTGATGTAATCATAACTGGTAGACATATTCATGAAGAGTATTTTGCCATTGATATTGATGACTTTGTCTTCTTGTTTTTATTTCTTGGCAGTATTCTATGCTTGTATGCTTCACGAAGGTGTTAGAAGGCTCGAAACCTACGTTACCCTGGCAAAACTGAGATACTTTTTAGGGAAGTATGTATCTTACCTGTTTCAATTATAATATTTGCAGGTTCACCCTCAAGGCTGGTGCGTGGTTTCCAGGAACACTAGTGCTGATGAAGAATCGGAGGTAATGAGCTTGTGTTGGAAAGTAAGGAGCATTGTGGTATATATTATTGGGTTGTCTACCACAGACTGTCCGGTGGAGTACTGTGGCAAGGTGAAATTGTTACTGAGGCAAAAAGGCATTTTTAAGCATATGGTAATATGCCACAACATACGGGGACAGAACATTTAGCAGAGCTGGTGCTGTACTCTGGAATGGATTACCTGAAAATGTCAGAAAATCGGAAAATATCAACAGTTTCCGATCTTGTCTCAAAACCATCCTTTTCAAACAAGCATTTGACTAAGAGCATATGAGCAGGACTCTGGATATGTAGCGCTATACAAATGTCTAATTTGATTTGGTTTGATTTGAATAATGAATATTGCTAATAATGGATATTTTTAGTGTGCCATCATCCACCCACTGGTACATGCTCGTGTTGTATTGTGTAGTCTTCCACAGACTGCCATGTACAATACAGTGGCAAAGTGAATGTGGAGGTGGTTTGTTACTGATCAAAATGACATTGTTAATCATATCAAAGACTTAATATTATCTCGATTGCCGTCATGTAGTACACTGAAGGATTCCAACAGTACCTAGTCGTAAGGAGTCATATTTAGTTGAAAGGCCGTGAGCCTCAAAAAGACATCTGTAAAATATATCTTAATTTGCCTAACTCGCAAAATGCTTTCATGCAGGGGAAGAAAAGGATGCATTGTGTTCATCTGTTTAATGAGTGCTGTATGATTGCAGAAAGTATGTTGTATTTATATTCACCCTGGTGGTAAACATCAGAGAAATGCATTGAATCAGCCGTTCCTACCACATAAAACTGACACACCATCATTTAACTGTAATATTGTTCCAAACATTGTTATAACGTACTAGTTGTAAATTTTAGAGCTGTGATACTCTAGTAGTTTTACTCTCCTTCGATGGCAGATTTTTATGTTCTAAATTTATTGATTTAAATGTTGATATAAATTAAATTGTTCTAATCATGATATGGCTGAAATATTGCCGATGTGACGTTAAATATTAACTCACTCACTCACTCCAAACAGTTAAGAACAGCTCACTCACCCTGCCATCATGCCCACTTAGACTGCAGACTATAAAAGTCTGTTTGATTTCCTTTCAGTGGACGTGCATCCACAATGTACAAGAATTCAACGAAGCTGATGTTCCTTCCAGTCCGGCATCAAATCCAGATTCCGACATCAGTGAATCCACCTCTAAAGATGCTGATGCTCAGCCAGGCTCCTCATCAAACAGCACTGGGGATCATTACTTGTCAGGATGGAATATCCTGTCCCGAAGTTTGTTGTCGTCAAGTATCCGTAGGTTTGGGCAGGTTGTGTACACGGACGACCTAGATGATGATGAAGGTGATGACTTCGACCAGTTTCCTTCTCTCAGCTTCCCATTTGAGGATCGACTGCAACTAGGCAATGGGATAGATGACTCTAGAAGGTCACCGTTGTCTGAATCGTTGTCTCATGACGAAGAGGATGATATCAGCTTAAGGCAGAACTGTTTAATCAGGGGAAGTAACTCTGTTGATGCTACTGCTACAGAAGATGATCAGTATACTTCAAGGCAATTTGACAGTCGTCGAGGGCGTTTTGTTTTAAATACTGGACAAAATAGGATACCAGGAGCAGCTTCAAACCGAGACAATAGGACCTTCAGTAATAAGGTGCATAAAAACAAACCAAGGTTACTGCACTATGTTGAAGAGCCGAATGTGGGAAAGGGCTTTCTTAAAGAATTGTGCTTCAGCACGGATGGGCGAATCGTTGTCTCGCCATTCGGTAATGGTGTGCGCTTGCTGGCATTTGACCCCTCCTGCCAGGAACTCTGTGACTGTGTGCCGACACGACCAATCAAGATGTATGAAGTTGGCAGCAACATTTCCCATAGTAATGTGGTTGTGACGACCAAATTTTCTCCTGTAAATTTCATGTATGTGTCAGGCTGCCTGGGAGGCAAAGTTGTTTTCCATCAGCCTGTTTTGTAACTGTAAAGTAATAAGGTGTAGTAGCTTTGGACATTAAAGGGGATAAAATGAATAATGATCTTCAATCCATTAATTGAAGACGTAGAGACTGCAGGGTTTGGAAATGACACTTGTTGTACTGTTTTTGATGACCGATGGGTTATCAGGGCACTTGATTTCAATAAATCAAACGTGCATTGGAATTCACGTGCTTTTATTCCAGTGTTTTTTACATTCTCCAGGGAGGTAACTCCCTTGCTCTTAATCGTCCGATGCGTGGAAGGCGCGCCCGTCCGTCCGTGCACATTTGTCTTTCCGGAGCATAACTCCAGAACCCTTCAATGTTTCTTCACCAAACTTGGCACATAGATAGATCTGGTGGTGAACTGGTGCCTTTTGGTAGTTTGGGAATTCTGAATAAAATATTTTTGGCGTTTCCATGGCAACAAGTTTGACTTAGACTGAAATTGGTGGTTGCGCTCTTTTCCGGAGCATAACTCTAGAACCGTTCAATGTTTCTTCACCAAACTTGGCACATATATTGGTCTGGTGGTGTACTGGTGCCTTTTGGTAGTTTTGGAATTCTGAATAAAATATTTTTGGCCTTTCCATGGCAACAAGTTTGACTTAGACTGAAATTGGTGGTAGTGCTCTTTTCCAGAGCAGAACTCTAAAACCGTTAACTATTTCTTCACCAAACTTGGCACATAGATTGGTCTGGTGGTGTACTGGTGCCTTTTGGTAGTTTGGGATTTCTGAATAAAATATTTTGGCGTTTCCATGGCAACAAGTTTGACTTAGCCTGAAATTGGTGGTTGCGCTCTTTTCCGGAGCATAACTCTAGAACCGTTCAATGTTTCTTTACCAAACTTGGCACATAGATAGATCTGGTGGTGAACTGGTGCCTTTTGGTAGTTTGGGAATTCTGAATAAAATATTTTTGGCATTTCCATGGCAACAAGTTTGACATAGCCTGAAATTGGTGGTAGTGCTCTTTTCCAGAGCAGAACTCTAAAACCCTTCCATGTTTCTTCACCAAACTTGGCACATAGATTGGTCTGGTGGTGTACTGGTGCCTTTTGGTAGTTTTGGAATTCTGAATAAAATATTTTTGGCCTTTCCATGGCGACAAGTTTGACTTAGCCTGAAATTGGTGGTAGTGCTCTTTTCCAGAGCAGAACTCTAAAACCGTTCTCTAATTCTTCACCGAACTTGGCACAACAAGTTTGACATAGACTGAAATTGGTGATAGCGTTCCTTTCTGGAGCAGAATTTTAAAAACCTTTTTTTTAATATTTGACATAATCATAACTCGTAGACATAATCATGAAGAGTATTTTGCCATTGAGGGGGATATGGATGACTTTGTCTTCTTGTTGTTTTTGCATACCGTTAAACAATAATATCGCTAAAAGCGTTATAACACTACAACTTGTCATTATGTCACATGTAGCAATATTATTGTTTACCCTATTTTCTACTCTCTAGGATGCCAGGGCAGTGGGGTAGCCTAGTGGTTAAAGCGTTCGCTTGTCACGCTGAAGACCCGTGTTCGATTCCCCACATGGGTACAAATTGTGAAGCCTGGTGTCCCCACCGTGATATCGCTGGAATATTGCTAAAAGCAGCGTAAAACCCAAGTCACTCACTCACTCGCTCACTAACTCACTCACCCATTCACTCAATTACCCATTCACTCACTCACTCACCTTAGGTTGCCATAAGTTTACCTTGGTGCTGTTAGTAGTGTAGAGTGGCTTCCCTTGGCTGTAACAACACTGGCTTGTAACACACAAACTGGCAGCTTCAAGACACATGGCCTGTAGCAATGTCACTGCTATCTGTTTATATATATGCTAGTGTATACTGGAATATAACAGTATTGGGTAACTGCTTTGGACAAGTTGTATGATAGTCTGTCCTCCTTATTAGGGAGGAAAGCCAGAAGCCATGCTGGCCTCAGATGTTTACGACGTTGGTGAAACCTGCGAGCGATGTCCTCTTAATGTGGGAGGAAACCCAGAAACATGATCATCATAATAGGGGGGAACGGTAGACTAACAACTAGTCTCTGAAATGAACATATTTTACAGAAAAAAAGCTCATAAAAAATCAAATATAATGAAAAGGAGCCCTGAGATTTTCCTCATGTTCAGAAGCTGTGGAAATCTAGACTTGCAACATTTTCTAGACTTGCCTGGCCTTTTGTGCATATATTTCCTTCAGGGTCTGTTCAAACCCACGATTAGGTTCCTGGGGTGGTGATCAAGGGACACAACTCTGCATTGACAACTGGGCCTCTTGTCAACAGCCACCTGCTGTAGGTTTCAAGACAGTGATATATCAATGTAGGACCTGCCACTTCAGGCCTCCTCCCACATCAAGCTGACACTGCTGTTATACAGCTGAAATAATGGTCAAAGTCACATCAGTCTCACTATACAGAAGGAGATCTTTCTTTGAAACTATACTACTCACACTTTGCTAAGGATCACAAAAATTCACAACTTTACTTTAAGGTTGATTTATAATTTGAAATTGTATCCATTTAAAACTGGATAAATAATAATATGGTAACCCCTCTTTAGGCAAACAGCCACTTGATACAAGAGTAACCATAAAAATGGTTTTCATGGCACCAAACAACCATTTTGCAGATCATGGAACCAGTCATTGACAAGTACACAGCACCTGTCAATAGCAGGTATGGAATCTACAAGATGCAGTAACTTACTGAAACCTAGGATCCATGCTTACAATAAGCTTAGGTATTTAAACCAAATTTGACCCCACATAATAGTTTTCTGTTGAATCCATGATTTGATCCTTAGCAAAGTGTGAATAGTATATTTAGGATATGCACTGGGAGTGGGCACACGGGTTATTGAAAGGTTTGGTGTTGTGCAATCTCATTAAGGATTACTTCAACGACCATGCTTGCTATATACTAGGGTGACAAGGTTTTTGTAAAGCTGGGTCAAAGTGTTATGTTACTGGTAACTGTAAAATGAGTCTAGTTTTATGCCGCACTCAGCAATATTCCATCTATATGGCAGTTGCTGTAAAACCTGGTTGTCCTGGGTTAGTACATTCTCACAGAGGGAGGGGTAGCCAAGTGGTTAAAGTGTTGGCAGGTCAAGCTGAAGACCGGTTCAATTCCCCACTTGGGTACAATATGTGAAGCCCATATCTGGTGTCCCCCGCCGTGGTATTGCTGTAAAATTGTTAAAAGCAGCCTAAAACTAAACTCACTCAATCACTGGTACATCTTCACAGTTTGATCTGGTTGGTCAAACTGCTACAATTAAGGCTGCTGTGTGCTGAGATATGACCTGAAACGACTTTCGCCCATTTACTTAATTTTTAATTCTTGAATAAGGGCAAATATATGTTGCCAATCATGATTTTTTTTATAGGAAGAGATTCTAACAAAGTTAACAGTCACTGAATCACCCTGTTTGGTTTGATGAGTGTGCAAGGGCAAGCCCCACAGTATCGGTCTCAGGTCCTTAGCCGACAAGATCTCAGTATCCCAGTCACAACATTCTACAGATTCCTCATACACGAATCACAATAATTTCCTTGCAGACCAGAGACGGTGGGGTAGCCTAGTGGTTAAAGCGTTGGCTCGTCACGCCGAAGACCCGGGTTCGATTCCCCACATGGGTACAATGTGTGGAGCCCATTTCTGGTGTCTCCCGCCGTGATATTGCTGGAATATTGCTAAAAGCGGCGTAAAACCATACTCGCGCACTCGTTACAGACACTCCGACACAATTATATTATAACTGCCACTTCTCAAGACTTTCAAAGACAATTTAAAACTCGCCTTTCACATCAGCTCACATGCAAAGTGGCTTTAGACATCCTTTTGTGCGATTTCATCCAATGTTAGCCCTGTTTATTTTTATATGTGTGCGAGGATGGATGGAAACATACATGTATCCATTCAGAAACCGAACTGAAACCTCGACTGTGATACAGGTTCGTGAATATGCAGCCAGCAACAGCACGGACAGAAGCCACCGGTGAATAGGGCCTGTTTGCAGGGGGACAACAGTTTGAACTATTAGAGTACACGTAACGCTGTCTATGACGGCCAGATCACTTCAAGGCCAGTGCGGGCGTTCAAAAGAAAGTTGAAATAGTACATTTTTGAGAATAGGCCTACTAGTGACGTACTTGAGTGTTCTTACGGACACGCCTCTGTGTATAGCACCTGTATATTGACCGACCCCAAATGTTTGTGGGCTTGCTACAGAGACGACGGTATCTCTTAGTGCGCCGTCCACGTATTGTGAACGTTATTATCTAGATAGAGCGGGTATTTACCGGTCCTATTTACCAACACGCGCTATATTTGAGAATCCTATTAGTGGGACGCTACTGGACAAGAGAAAAATAGATGGAGGTGTTTTCAACTTGTGTGTTTTATTAATTACGTTAAGTTTCGCCGGAGTTGTTGTACAGACATTGTATTCGTGTGTTAAGTTATTTAAGATTGAAATGACGCCGTCTGTTAATTAATCGTTGTCATTAGAGATATGCTTGTTTGCTCGGCTTCTGAAATGTTTATCATAGTCATTTATTTTATCATGCTGTCCCACTTGTACCCATTTCAGTGAGTGAGTGAGTTGGGGTTTACGCCTCTTTTATCAATATTCCAGCAATATCACGGCGGGGGACACCAGAAATGGGCTTCACACATTGTACCCATGTAGGGTATCGAACCCGGGGCTTCGGCGTTACGAAGGAACGCTTTAACCACTAGGCTAAACCACCGTACCCATTTCAATTACCACAGAAGACAGGGGAGCGGCCGTGTCTGCTCCCCAGAGTGTGGGCCGTGCCTGCCCAAGAGTGACAGTAGGGGCGCGGCCGTGTCTGCTCCCCCTAAAGGAGCAGCCGTTACGCCCCAAGAGAAAAGCGGGAACGGCCGTGTCGAATCCCCAGAGTGATAGTAGTGACAGCAGGGGAGCGGCCGTGTCTGCTCCCAATGAGTGCCGTGCCTGCCCCAAGAATGACAGCAGGGGAGCGGCCGTGTCTGCTCCCCCGCCGCAGGAGAGCGGCCGTGTCTGCTCCCCAGAATATTGGGTGTGGCCGTGTCCACCCCCCAAAAACAAAAAAAAAAAAAAAAACAAAACAAACAAACCATAGTGTATGTACACAACACCACCACGCGTCCCAAAGAGGGACAAACCATGCGACCCAACGAGG